TATCTTATTGAAAAGTACAGAGATTTTCCTTCAGAAATAAGGACAAACTGTTGAACGGTAGAGTATATTTGCAACCTTTATCGTGACTTACTAAGTTAACGTTATTATTGTGGACTCGGTTAATTTAACTCGGTTACATTTGTTGACGTTTGATGATAGCTCAGTTGTGTCTCGGCATCTTGCTGGGGTGGCAGTGGAAAAGGAACAGGAAATGGTTTGAGCCTCCCTGACATTGGCTATGCTTTGGGAAAATTTATTAAAATATGTAGAGAAGGAAAAATAAAAACGTTATTAACCGGTTTTGTGGATTTAAGAATGTTTGTTCTGGAACAGTTGAAGACCGTTTCTAGTAAAATTCTGTTATTTTGGTTCCTTGACCAGGTTCAGAGACCTGGTACTTGGTTCACATCCTTTCCTCTAAAGATATTAGAGCCAGTTGGTCTAAATTGTCTCTTTATTGAACATAATATTACATTTGCTCTTTTGGACCTCAGAAGAAAAACCTGCTATAATAATGAATGACGCGATGCGTTTGTGTGCCTGCAGCCTGTCAGGTTGTCTGATCTCAGAGGAAGGCTGCGTTTCTCTGAGCTTAGCTCTGCGCTCCAACCCTTCCCACCTAAAGCAACTGGACCTGAGCTACAACCATCCAGGAGACGGAGTGAAGAAGCTGACTGCACTGGATTCTTCCTGGAAACCAAAAACACTCAGGTTGGAGATGCTAACTGCAGATGTTTGCTTCATGGTTATTTATGAGCATGTGGCACAGATGTAATAAAATCTATAATAAATTAGCCCCTCCTCCTTTCAGGGTGGAGCCATCTGGAGCCCGATGGTTGACACCAGGTCTGAGGAAATGTAAGTAATATTCAGGAGTCATTAAAGTGTCACTAATTGATCAATAACTGCAGCTGGATGGTTTTTCTCCACCAGATTCCTGTCGGATCACCATCGACCCAAACACGGTGAATGGAAAACTGCGACTGTCCGATGACGACAGGAAGGTGACGGGTGTGGACGAGGTCCGCTCGTATCCTGATCACCCGCACAGGTTCGACTGGTGGCCCCAGGTGCTGTGCAATGAAAGCCTTCCTGACCGCTGCTACTGGGAGGTCATATGGAGCGGGAAGGTGGAGATCTCTGTGAGCTACGGAGGAGTCCGACGCAAAGGAAACAGCAACGACTGCGAGTTCGGATTCAACAACATGTCCTGGAGTCTGAGCTGCTCCGACGACGGCTGTTATTCCGTCTGCCACGATAACAAGAGGGAGTTCATCTCCACCTGCTCCTCCTCCGCTCCCTACCATAAGATAGGCGTGTACGTCGACCAATCGGCCGGCAGCCTGTCCTTCTACAGAGCCTCCTCTGCTAAACCGATCCATCTCTACACCCTGAACACCAAATTCACCCAAGATCTTTATCCTGGATTTGGGTTCTGGCCGGGTTCCTCTGTTTATCTGTGTCCAATAGAGTAGAGTTTGGTGCTTTTTGGGAAAAAGGAAAACTTCTAGGCCTGCAGTAAGAAAACCGTTAAATACTTTATTAAATATGAAGCAAATCTTCCTGCAGGAAACGCTTTTTATTTTAGCTTAAATTCAAGTTGGAAAAGAGAAAAAATGAAAACGGATAATCTTTATTGTCCAAAATCAGCATCTCATCCCAAGAGTTTCAAAGATTTTGTGGTTTTTCTGCTTTTGTTTTTATTGGTATTTAGATTTTTCTCCACAATAACAATTATATTGATGTTAACTTCAGGATTTCATTGTTTTCACGGCTCTGAATATTTACTTGTCTCTTATTGCGAGCTTGCATGCGTGGATCTGAGCGTCAGCTGAAGCTCTTTCCGTTCTCTATGGTGGAAACTAAAATGTTGGCCTTTTTGTCATCAGACCAACTGAGTGCCTTTATTATTTGGAAACTGTATTTTTCTAAAAACTGATTATATTACAGTACAGTTGATTGTAACACTGTCCAGGCAGCATTATCAAAGCACTGAAAAAGACACTGCAGGATGTCCCCCCCCCTTTCCGCGCACTAACGTGGATTATTTGGTTTCACCTCACTGGAGATCTGGAAACGCATTTTTCCGCTGAGCGTCGGTCCGTTTAGGGAGCGGAACGGGAACCAGACGAGATGAAGGACAACCTGAGGAAGATGAGTCACCAAGCGACAGATTACTTATTTTTACGTAATGTTAGATAATATATTATAAAATCTATTCACCTATTTATAAGAAATATTTTATTAGGTTGCACACATCTACCTTTGTATTATTAGCTAAGGACTTAATTATGTTGTATCATGATAATAAACCACATAATTCTTTAAAGATTTCGAGGTTCTGTTTTGTTTGATGTAATTACTAATAATCCCCAC